GGGGGGGCGGATCGCCCAGGCTGCCTACTTAGAGGCTCCCGCTTTGCGGGCAGATGTGCCTGATCCCTCAGCTGCCGCAGTTTCCCTAAGTAAGTGGGCGGTGGCCCGGTCATTCATTTCAGGCGGCCGGCTCATCAGAGGGAGGCAGGGGACGGACCCCGCCAGGGCAACGCCCAGTAAACAGGAAGGCAGGACTCAGCCACGAGCCAAGCGCCCTCCAATGGCATCTCTCTTGGTTGGTTTGGGGGGTGTTTTTTTTTTAATATTGAAGAAAAAGTTTTCCCTAAAGCTCCAAATCATCATAATTTCTGCTCCTTTGGGCCATTCAGAGTACATCTTATCTCTCTTCCAGAAGGCAGTTGTTAGCTATTTATTACTCCTTTTTGGAATCTCATCCCTAAAGATTAAGAATTTGTTTCCCACGGTAGCTCCAATGCCCATGACGGCGCCTGATACCAACTAATCACAGAGCACATCTTTGTTGAATGAATTAAGCATCACCCAGGTCTTCCATATCTTAAACGTGGTTTTTCAGTCTCTCTCTTGGTTAAATTCTTTTATTTCCATTAAGCTGTGGCTTTTAAGAGACCAAATATGGTCTGACTACTATCTCTCTTTGGGTAATGTATCATGAATACCACTCGAGATTGCATTAATTTCTTTGGCAGTCTCAACACACTGCAGGCAAATATTGATCTCGGCCAAAACCTCAATGTCTTTTTATAGATGTGTCTGCCGGTCCTGACTCTCCACACTTGCATTTGTTCAGTTGTTCTTGTGGGGCCCAGATATAAGACCTTACATGAACCTTTGTTAAATTAATCTTGTTAGATACAAATGCAAATGGTTTAGGATCCTGATTTAGTCTTTTATGTATTTATGTCTCTATGCAGCTTTATGTCATAGACAAATTTAATCAGCAAGCTCTCTATTTCTTTATCTCAGCTATGGGAAGGTTTCTATGGCTATAAGAAATATCCTTCCAAGCTGAAGTTAAGCCAGTTGCCATTTGGGGCACATTCTCATCATAAATTACAAATTCCTTTATTATTAGCCGATACTTTTCCATTTTACCCACTAGGTTATCAGAGGAGATCATACCATATATCTTGTTGGGGCTTAAATATACAATTGCTGTATAGCTATGAAGGATGTAATCTAATTTATTCCAGAAGTCAGTCTCCCTCCCTTCAAGAATAAAATATAATGGGAAAATCACATCGTAATTCCACATTAAGGATGAGAACTATTTTCCTAATTGCTCCATGACCTGCCTAGTGGCCATGGTCTTTAGCCCTGTCTTTGGTGGAAGTGGACCTCTGCATCATTGTCTCCTTTGGGCATCTCCTGCCCAATCAGCTCTCGGAATGTTGGGGTTCTCTAGGACTCTTCCCACTACTTGATTCCCTTTTCTTCTGCACACCCCAAATCTGACACAGCAGTAAGCCCATCAGCATCGCCTCCAAAATACGTCACAAATATGACTTTTTAACACCAGTGCACTGTTGTGACTCCAGTCCAAACCACCTCTTCTCTAGCAGTCTCCTCCTTAATGTCTTACCTCTCCCACCCACAGTCCACCTGCCATAGGGTAGCAAAGAGAGAAAATTGAGTCACTTCTTAAAGTAAAATTCAAAGTCCTTGATATGTCCTACAAAGTCCCATGTCATCTTTGCCTAATTATTAATTTAAAATTTTCTCCCAGCCTCCCTCTTATTCTTATGTTCTAGTTAGTTATCTCTTCTTTCTGCTCCTCAACTATAATAAGCATGTTTCCCTTCTCAGGACCTTTGCACATGCTATCCCTTTGGCTTATAGGACTCTGACTCAAAGATCACTTAAAAATTATTACTTTTTGCCTGGCCAGGCTTGGCTCAGCGGTTGAGCATTGATCTAGGATCCAGGAGATCGAGGTTCAATTCCCGGTCAGGGCACATGCCGGGGTTGCAGGCTCGATCCCCAGTCGGGGGTGGGTAGGATGCAGCCGACCAATGACTCTCTCATCATTGATGTTTCTATCTCTCTCTCTCCCTCTCCTTTCCTCTCTCCAAAATCAATAAAGATATATATATTTAAAAAAATTATTACTTTTCAAATACTAAACCTCTTAATGATTACAATTTAGCTACAAAAAACCTGGGTTTTAGAATTACCCTTGTCTTTCTCCTAGGCCAACCAGGTGTGGTAGGCTGAATAATGGTCCTCCAAAGACGTCCACATCCTAATCTGCAGAACCTGGGAATAAGTTACTTTAAATAACAAAAGGGGCTCTGCAGAAGTGATTAAATTAAGGATTTTGAGGTGGGTATATTATCCTGGATTATTTGAGTGGGCCAATGCAATCCTAAGGGTCTTTGTAAAAGGGAAGCAGGAGGGTCAATGTAAGCACAGAAAGAAAGGGAGAGAGAAAGAGAATATGCTGCTGGCTTTGAAGATGGAGGAAGTGGCCACAAATCAAAGAATGTAAGAAGCCTCTACAAAAGGCAGATTCCTGCCCGGTTGGTGTGGCTCAGTAGTTGAGTGTTGACGTATGAACCAAGAGGTTACTGGTTAGATTCTTTGTCAGGGCACATGCCTGGGTTTTGGGTTCAATCCCCAGTAGGATGCGTGTAGGAGCAGCTGATCAATGATGTTTCTCTCTCATCAGTGTTTCTATCTCTCTATCCCTCTCTTTTCCTCTCTCTCTAAAAATCAATAAAAAACCCCACATATCAAAAGGCAGATTCCCTCCTTGAGCATCCAGAAGGAATGCAGTCTTGACAACAGACTTTAAACTTCTTACCTCCAGAACTGTAAGGTAATATATTTGTGTTGCTTTGAGCCACTGAACTTGTTATAATTTGTTAGAGCAGCAAGAGGAAACTAATACACTGGCTCTCTGGGAAGCAGGATAAAGTGTTTTGATTAGCTTTGCACCCTGCAGCTCCTGAAACATACATACGCACAAATAAACTTTCTATTTTTATAAGAGTTTTACTGCTAGAAATTAAGGAGAAACCAACGACATATAAAATTTTAGTATTCTTGTAGTTGGGAGGAGGGGAAGATGGACTCTATTGGTGTTTGTCTGGACAATGCTCTCCACGAATGAATAGCACTAGAGTGAAAATTGCTGGGGATTACAGAATGCACAAAGAACATCGTCACTAGTGATCTGTGTTTAGGTGGCACGGGTAATAATTTATTAACTTTCTGCTCTGTCCATTTTTAGAGTACCTGATGACAGGGGGGAAAAGAAAGACTTTTGAAAACAGCCAAATGTCATACTTAAAATCCTCACCAAAGGGAAACCCTGGAATATGTTATTTCCAACTAATAAAAAGACTTCCTGTGGGAAAGGGACAAGGTTAGCCACCTATTGTACAGGTAAAGATTCAACCCTTGTCCACTGATTTCTCCTTCAACATTTAGCTTCCAGAATATTTACTTTCCATATTTAGGTTCCAGAACTAGGATCAAAGTGTGTTGTTAAGAAGATCCAGGCAGGGTGAGGGAAAGGGTTAGCCTAGGAAGGAAGAAGTGGCAGCTAAATATGTAAAATAGCCGATCTGAAATTATCCACTAATTCAAATGAAGGTGCATTAATTTCTCCAGAGGCTGACGGGATGCTTTGTTTAGATGGAGTGAGCTAAATAAAGCTGTTCTGTAATTCATCACTGAAATGACTGCCTATCACTTTCATTTCTCATGGGGCCTAGCCATAAGTAAGCAGATTATGCTACTTGTTACCCAGAGGATTGGCGTGTGCTTGTTTTATTTCTATTTAAATGCAGAGCTGAGTCCATGTCTTGCGGTGATATGATCACCTGAATCCTCAGTGGGGGCTTTAATTCCTCAATACACTGGAATATGTCCAAGTTGTCCCAATGGTGCTGAGCATAGATGGATATGAATGGCATGACCAGTTAAGGAACTCATCGATCAGTTGATCAATTAATAAGCACTAATTGAATAACTATGGAACACTGGGTTAAACATTATGGGGGATATAAAAATGCATAAGAACTGGTCCCTGTCCTTAAATTATGTAGGAAATACTGAAAGGTCATTTTCTGTCCTATTGACCCCCACCTCACTCTACCAATATTAATCACCTCTAGCTTTGCCAAGCTCATGACAGGCACTCCTGTCCCTGAGAGGGCTCTGGAACCATTTGCAGTGTCCATGCTAACTTGAGTGACAGTTGCATAACTGTATAAGCATAGAGACACAACTTCCCCTTCTACCACTGCTTGTGGACTCTTCACCCAATTGGGCATCTGCCCCAGTTCCTAAGTTTTTATTTTGTTTGTTTGTTC